CTTAAGTTAGTAAAGTAATAGAACTAGTAATAAAAGTAGCTTTAGACTTACTAATACTAAAAAAACTTATAAAAGAAGTAAAAGTAGAGACATTATTAAAGCGTATTTAGTATATCTTTAGTATTAAATTTAAACTACTATTTATATTTTTAAAAAGTTATTAGTTTTTAATTTATTATAAGTAGTAAAATAAAAATAAGAAGTGTATATATATATAGTAGAAGTATAATTTTACTTACTAAGAAAATTAGAATTCTTTTACTTAATAATTTATAGCTTTATTAGTTATAAGCTATTAAAAATATAGAATTATATTTAAATTCTTTTTACTAGTGCCTTAAGCCTAATTTAGAGTTATTTTTATAGTAAAAAGATATTAAAAGATATTAAAAGGCGTTAAAAGACTCTAAGCTAGCTCTTTTAGAGCTGCTAGACAATTTTAATATTAATTTAGATATTACTATAGTAATAAGGTTATTACTAGTCTATAGTATAGACTAACTCTACACTTATCTATATAACTTTCTAGTTTATACTATAACTAGAAATAACTAGAAATAATCTAATAGAATTTGCTATATTTATTCTCTATTAGCTATAACTATAATATTATCTCTATTCTTTAATAACTATAATATAATAACTATTTATAGTTATACTTTTAATAGCTTTAGTAAAACTCTAATACTACTACTATTTATATAATAGTATCTACCTACTAAAGATAATTTATAAATACTTTTTTATCTTAATTTAATTTCTTATTACTTTTTTTAAGAATCTCTCTTAATATAGTTTACTACTAGTAAATATAACTTTCTATTACTTTACTTAGATATAGCTTTATCTTTATTTTAATTATATATATAATAAAATAGATATAAATAGTATCTCTACTTTAGAAAGAGTACTTAATTATTATTAGTATACCTAGAATAAGCTTCTTTAAAATTCTAGTAATATATAAATCTTTTGCTACTAAAAAATTTATAATATTAAGATATAGCTTATAAAAGAACTATTTTATCTTATTAATAAAATTCTTAAACGTAAAGTTTTAGTAAAGAATAATAAAACAATCTATTTACTTTAAGTACTTATAAAAGATATATATAAAGTAATAACTATTAATAGTTTTAGTAAGTACTATATTATTAGTATAGTAGGCTTTAAGAGTATGTATAATAGTAGTAGTTATAAAAATAATAATAAAAGTAATAAGATTTAATAAAATACTATCTTTTATAATAATCTTAAGAGAACTAATAAAGTAATAATAAAGTAACTTAGAAGAGCTCTAGTAAGATAGTAATGTAATATAACTAGTAAGAGATTAGTTTTATTCTTATAATTACTAAAAAGACTTATAAATTATTTAATATAAATATTAGTGTAATATTTAGTATTTAATTTAAGCTACTTATATCTTTAATATATTTTTAGATTTCTAAGAGTAACTTATAGAATAGAAGAAGCGTGCTTTTACTAAGATTTTAGTATATATAGTCTAACTATAAATCTTTAAAATATATTACTTTATTAGTTATAAGCTAATAAGTATATATAACTATATTATAATTCTTTTATAAAGTATTTACTAGTACTATAAGTCTAATTTAGTGTTATTTTTATAGTAAAGTAATAATAAAAAATATTAAAAGATATTAAAAGACTTTAAGCTAGTCTCTTTTAGAACTACTAAATAATTTTAATATTAATTTAGTATATATTACTATAGTAATATAGTTATTTTAGTTTATAAATAAATTCTACACTTACTTATATAACTTTCTAGTTTATACTATAACTAGAAATAACTAGAAATAATATAATATATAGTAATAGGTATAACACTAATAGAACTAGCTATATTTATTCTTTATTAACTATAACTATAACTTTATCTTTATTCTCTAATAATATTAATATAATAACTACTTAGAGCTTATTTCTTAGAAAGTATTTCTACTATATAAGACGTCTATTATAGTTAATATTTACTTAACTAGCTTAGTACTTAAGAGACTATTTATAAACACTTTTTTTTTATTCTATTCTTATTTAGTTTTATTAAGTATTAGATTTAAAGTCTTATACTATAAGTTTATAGCTTTATTTATAAAATTAGATAGAGCTAAATCTAAATCTATAGTCTACCTTACCTTATATATAAAGAGGTAGGTATAAATATTAAGAATAACTAATAATAAGAATAATAATAATAATAGCTTAGTAGCTAGAATAGTAATAAAAGAATAGATACTAGCCTAGTTTAGGTAAATAAAGTCTTTAGTTTTACTAAAAAACTTATATATATTAATAACTAGTTTCTTAAAATTAAAGCTAGTAGAAAGAATAATTAAAGGCTTTACTCTAAGTGTATATATTTATAATATAGTATTAATAGAAGCTATAATAAGAACTATAATAAAAGCTATAATAGAAGCTATAATAGAAGCTTTAATAGTATTAGTAGAGTTAGCCTTAAATATTAAATAGATAAATTTCTATATAATAGCTACTAGAATATCTTTTAAAATAGCTATCTAGATAAACTCTAAGCTATTTATAAAAGCTTTAGTAAGTAATAATAATATAGTTATATAGAAAGTAATTAATATAGTGATAATAAAGTAACTTAATAGAGCTTTTTAGTAAAATAGTAAAGTAAAATAAAGTAAAGTAACTAGTAAGAGATTAGTTTTATTTTTATAAGCGCTAAGAAAACTTATAAATTATTTAATATACTAGCGTAGTATTTAGTATTAGATTTAAGCTACTTACGTTTTTAATATATTTTTAAATTTCTAAGAGTAGTAACTTATAAGATAAAAAAAGCGCGCTTTTACTAAAAGAAATTTTAGTATATATATTCTAACTATAAAGCTTTAGAATATATTACTTTATTAGTAATAAGTATATATAATTAGATTATAATTTTTTTATAAAGTTTTTCTATAAAGTATTTAGTATTATAATTTTTTTATAAAGTATTTAGTATTAAAATAGCTACTTTATAAGCTTAAAAAATTTAAAAGCTTTAACTATTTTAAAAATAGTAGTACTAAGACTCTAAGCCTTAGCTTACTTAATACTATACTTTTAAGAGTAAGTAAAAAATTTAGTTATATATTCTTTAGAGTACTAGTAATAGTTCTTACTTTTTTAGAATTAGTAGCTTTTTAAGCTATAAGTATTACTACTTAAGATTTAAATTTCTACTTAATAATAAAGTATTTAGAGTTAGAATAGCTTTATAGCTAGTTTAAATTTAGAAGCTTTAACTACTTTAAAAGTAATAGTACTAAAGCTTTAAGCTTTAGTTTATTTATTTTTAAAGTACTAAAACTTTTAGTTATATATTCTTTAGTATACTAGTAATAAACTTTATTTCTTTAAAACTAGTTTATAAGCTATAAAATTATTAGTTTACTAATAAATTCTTTTTACTATAAGTAAATATTAGTATTTATAAAATAGTTACTTTACTATTTTAAAATTTAGAAGCTTTAACTATACTAAAAGTAGTAGTACTAAAAATTTAAGCTTTAGTTTACTTAATACTTTTACTTTTAAATATAAAATTTTATCTTTTTTAAAAATATATATTTTTATATACTAGTAATAGACTTTACTTTTTTTAGACTAGCTTATACTATAAGATTATTAGTTTACTAATAAAATAATTTCTACTTAATAATACTTTTAGTTATACCTTTACTATTAAGTATATAAAGATAAGTAGTGTTACGTCTAGAACTTGTAGTAGATATATTTTAGGCTCTTACAAAGAGTAGTAGAGAGAACCTATGTTATAGAGCAAATGTCTCTGCTAAGTGCGTTTCATGCGAAAAGGGCCGCGACGTTGCACAAACAGGATACGGCTTTTTGCTGCGTTCATTTCCACATGTATTCACCTTACCACTCGCGTGGTGGGTACTATGGGACAACACTGCGTTATCGCAGTCATTATCGTCTCCGTGAGTGGAATGTTGCAACGGCTACCTCGGCGGCACCAGCGCGATCAACGCGACATTACGACACCTGAGCATCGCCACCGTCCGTCACCGATGGAAGTCGAGAATAAGTTCATCTTTTGTTCAGGAGCCCTCAAAAACAAAGAAAGGCTCTAGACCAGCAGCACGACGTCTGTCGCACCGTGCGCGAATGCTCAAGCAAGGCCCATGCCTCGCTAGACAACCGGTGAGCCACCGCACCGCCTCAGGTCAGCGTTCTTGCATGTACCTAGGTATGATCCAAGTTCTGTCCCGCAGCCTTTATTCCGAGACTGCGTGAATGACAGTTGGCAAACTTCGTCGCACAGCGATAATTCGTTAGAGCCACGACTAGTAAAGAATGTCGAAGGGCGAAGGGCAGCGAGGCTGTCCCGGCGGGAAATTGTCCGCAATGCAACTTGGTCCGCACCCTCGCGCCGCTATGATTCCCTACCCCACATCTTCCGTCTGGGCAGCTGCGACTTGACCGCATCCTCACCACACCGCGCGTTCGAGACCAGCGCAAATCCGATTCGGCTGCCCGGGATATCGATCGTATTCGTGCTAATGCGCATGGCACATGTCGACGGTCGCCTCCGAGGGCTGCATCATCACGAGAACTAGCTGTCGTCCTGGCGACTTTCCCCAGGTTTGCCCATTTTCTTTGGCGCAAACGCACAGCAGCTTGCGTCGCACACAGTCATTTGTTTGCTTGTGACATGTGTAGATGAGGCCTCGCGCAACCGTCTACAGGGAGACTTCTCGAAAGAGCTTTTCGCCCAGCATGGCGCTCGGCAGATCGCCATTCAACAACGCTTGGCAAAGAAAAGTACGAGCCTCATCCACGTCATCTGGATTGGCATGCAGCCAGCGATGATGCGCAGGGGCAAACGTTCTATTTTAAACTTCAGCTCTACAGTGGAATAAAAGGTTGCTCCATCCCTGGCTTTTGCACCTGTATCCCTTCGTTTTACTAGACTTAATACCCTATTCTTAATTCTCAACATGTGGGCTAAAGCTGCTTCTATCCTCGCCCTTGCGACCACCGCCGTCGCTCAGAGCAAAGGCTTCAACTACGGTGCCACCAACGCAGACGGATCATGCCGCGGCTACAACGACTTCGTTCGCTTCTTCAATGAGGCGAAGAGCCTGTCTGGAGCCTCGGGGTTCAACACAGCACGTCTTTACACTTCAGTTCAATGCGGTACCGCGGCCGATCCCATCTCTGCCTTCCAAGCAGCCATCGACACCGACACCCAACTACTGGTGGGTCTTTGGGCCAGTGCCGGACGTGCGGCATACGAGAACGAACTCAACGCCTTGATCCGTGGCGCTAGGGAACTTGGAACCGCTTTCACAGACAAGATCATCGGCATCAGTGTAGGGTCTGAGGACTTGTACCGCAGCAGCCCGCAAGGTGTACAGAACAATGCTGGCGCTGGTGCTACTGGTGCTGAGATCGAGGGTTACATCGGTTGGATGCGCGATTGGATCCGTGGCACCGCGCTCGAGGGCAAGCCTATCGGCCATGTCGACACATTCACTGCCTGGGTTCTGCCCGAGAACCGCGGTGTTGCGCGCAGCGTGAACTGGCTTGGTCACAACTCGTTCCCTTACTTCGAGACCACGAGACCCAACTCGATCGACCTGGCACGTGAGAATTTCTTCGCGGGTCTTGGTCAGACTGAGAGCGTATCTGATGGAAAGCCTGTTTGGGTTACCGAGACCGGATGGCCACGAAGTAAGCCGTTCCCCAATACTCTTCTGGACTATGATACTAACGCATGTATAGTTGGCCCCAACTCTGGCTCCGCTGTTGCCTCCCTCGAGAATTCCAAGCGTTACTGGGACGAAGTTGGCTGCTCGCTCTTCGGCAGCCGTACCACGTTCTGGTACACCTTGAAGGATGCCAACGCCGCCCAAACTGATCTGTCTTTCGCTATTACGCCCCTCCAGAACAACACGCCGTTCTTCGACCTGACTTGCTAGACACTCAGCGCTTGTTGATAGTTGACCACATGGGGTCTTCAAGACAGTGCATCTTTTTGTATATAATATAAATTTAATGAATCAGAATGGCCGGTTGTGCGCATCGAAGGTTGTCAAGAACTGGTTGCAGTACCTCTTTACTTGATGTTTACAAATCGCCCTCAAGCGTGAATGACCTGAACTTGACTTCGTTGACAGTCAACTGCCTATACACATGCAAATGCTAAATACCGACGTTACAGGCCTTCGCGTCCGATGAACCACTCAACAGAGGCTACCCTCAATAACCCTTTTGTCCATAACTCAGGACGATGGAATACTCTGCGCATGCGTGGTGAAGATACCCTGAGGATCTAGGCTCGACTTGATCCTCTTCATCTTCTCAAAGTTGTCCCCGTATAGCCTCACGCTCCATTCATCAACGGAGAGCTCCGTATCTCTGTAATTCACAAAGCCCCTTAGTGGTACACCCTCCTTCTTCAGCTGATCCCGGAAAGGTCGGAAACCAGCTTGCATATACTCAATGCCGTCTGCAGGCCATTGGGTTAGGCCGTTAGCAAGACGTCCTTCCCAGCGGATGAGCCACTGGTTGTTGGAGTAAGCCATCGCCTGCTTTGAGTCGTCAACATCCCTAGACACGCCACCCCATAAGTCCAAGAAGCCAAATTCAGTCAGATCAGTGCGGTTGAAGGCGAGTGTGGTGTACTGATAGAGCGCTTTGGCGGACTCGAAGGTAAAAGGCTGATCTTTGCGCAGAACCAGTGCTTGCAGGTACATGCTGCGCGGAGGGAAGGCGTCGGTAGTCCCGTTGATCTGTGGAACGGCAAAGTTCTCCATAGCCCAGAAATCCGCCGTTTGCACATTGGTTGTTGTAGTGTTTGGGAGACGTTCGACCAGGCCAGCGAAGAGAGCATCAAACTCGTCCGGGTTACCATAGAAGTATCCACTGCCATTCCATTCGCCTGCCAGTTGCCATCGAAGAGCGAAGGTATCGGGTGCTTTAGTCATGGCCCAGTCCTGGATGTCGATCAGGGCTTGGGCGCCTGTGTCAAGGTCGACAGCACCAAGTGAGATCGTGAAGTTTGTGACGATGTCAAATTCTGGTTTCCAAGTGCGCGTTGTCAGAGACAGGATGATGCCGTAAGAGGAGCCTGCGCCTTGAACAACGAAGAACAGGTCTGGGTTTTCCGTGCGGGAAGCAGTCACCACTGTGCCATTGTATAGCATCACTTTGACGCTGTCGAGATTATCCATAGGAATACCGAGAAAACGGCTGGTAGTTCCAAAGCCGCCACCGATGGAAGACCCAGAAAGGCCTACCCAGTTAGCTCGGACGTGGGGGAAGTGACGCCCGTGGTTCTCCCAAAGCCATGTCGCAGCTGGCCCAACTCGGCTCCCACCACCGTAGCTATGATCATTAGCATAGATTACTTGCTATGGTCTGCGAGATCACTTACGTGAACAGACCAGTCGCCTCGTCAAAGGTGGTCTCTGTGAAGCGTTCCATGTTGATCACAAGTGCTCCATCCACACCACCCAGCCCATAAGCTCCATAAGAATGTCCTCCATTTAGTGGGGAGACCTTGACGCCCGCATCTACGGCGCACGCCAACGCAGCAGCAATTTCGTCTTGGTTGCGCGGAACAACAACCGCGGCTGGTTCTGGGTTGAATCGCAGGGCCCATGGAGATGTAATAGTATCCCAGTTCGTAGCATCAGGAAAGGTCGCCAAAGAGGCTAAGATGGTGGAGCTACTTAAGCAGTCTTTGAGTTTGGTGGCATCATCCTGCGCTGCAGCACCTGGTAAGAGGGATCCAAAAAGTACGATATTCGAGATGAGAGCGAGTAGACCACTAGGCCTGACGGAATGGGGGCGAAGCATGGTGTGTGGTGGATAGTTGTGTATAATGAGGGTGGTAGGGACTATGGCTATCAGGACACCCGCTTTATATCCAGAAAAACAGCGCATGTCTTCTATCTCATGTCTGGTCAGTAATCAGCTATCCCATCGCCTTCCGCGTTGTTCAAACCATTGGTGTGAAGCTGTTTGCATGATTACGCTTCGGCGCCGAAGCACCCGTCCTGCCATGCGCCCGAAATGAAGCCATTGGCAGCTCTCTATCGGCTTGAGTGCACGAATCTCATCAACGGGATGTATTAGCGGACTATACACAAAAGCCAAGAGTTGCCGTACGCGTGGCACCTTCATGTAGACGCGATGAACATGGGAGACCCGTCTGCGAGTGCATTTCCACCATGGAGAGGATTTAACTTGCCAGACTTCCTCGAGCATGTCAGAGCGCATGTGCGAATTTGAAACATCGAACCTTAGCTGTACAGTGCAAGTACTGCGAGTACTGCATGGTTCGCGGATGTTCCACGACGACCTTGGGATTAATGGGCGACGAATGCAGGACGGGGCATGCGCGTAAGATGCAGGAAACATCGCATCGCACTATCCCGAGCCCTCTGACTCGGCTCCTTGACATTGCTTTTATTCGTGCACGCTGTCTCCTAGGAATGTAAGACCGATTACTGATATGGGTGTTCTCCGGTAGCTTGGTTTGTTTCACGAAACATGCTCATACGTGCCCAGGTGCGGTTCCAATCGCGCACCGGGTCACAGATGACTCTCCAGACCGAGAGGACTCATCACAAGTGAAAGAGGGTGTCGCCTGGGCTTTCGCGCTCGTTTTTGATGCTGAGTGATCGCGATTGCGTCGTGTCATTAACTCGAGAGTTGGGGGGGCCGCGACATGTGGAAACCCCAGACGCTAGCCGACAGCTTCCCTGCCAAGATCGACGCGAAACTCTCCACACCATGACATCACGCATCATCATCTTGTCAACGATGGGTTGACTTACCGCTTTCAGGACGCGTTTCGCGGGACCCCCAAGATGATGCAAGAAGCTATGGCGACGATAGACCTTGAAAGACATGAGGCCTCACACAGGGATACCCCGATCGTGGTCTTCTCTTCTCGCGAAATTCTCGAGCCATGTCCACCCCCAGCAATGACAAAGACCGTCTCCAAGACTCGTCACAGCAGCTAGACTACGTTCACGGTAGCTCGCACAAGGTCCTCAACTTCCAAAATGCCAATTCACGGCGCTATGCCGTCAACAACGAAGATGGACACGCAAGCGGGACGGAATGGGAGTGGTGGAGTCGCGAGAATCGAAAGGGTACGTACACAGCTGTATTATATATAAGCCGAAGATTGTACTGACGAGTCTCTTCTCCAGGCCGGCACATACTTCTCCTCAGTCACGGTCAAGCACCCTCGCGCACCGCACGTACTACGCGCCTTCTTCGAGCGCTTGTGCGCATGATCACAGTCGTAGCCTGGTGGGACGTTTCGTGGTGGGTTGGCGTCGTCTTTACTGTCGGCTCGATATGCTCGATCACGTCTGGCGTCCTTCAATGGCTTCCAGTCGCATATCCAGATACGCGATTCGCCGCCGACCCGAGCACCATCAGCGGCGCGATATCCTTCTTCCGTGGAATGTTGTTTCTGCTGGGTGGCATGCTCCTTGTAGTCGAAGCGGTGAACGCCAACCAGAGCGACTGCTTTGGCTGGGCGCTCAAGGAAAGCTTGAACTCCGACAACGAGAACATCGAACTCGCGTCTTCGGACGAAGAGAAAGCGACCGAGAACCCCTCCGGCTTCCAACCCGACCGTCGAAACTGCACGCATATCCACAACCCCGACCGCATGAAGCATCGAATATTGCACACGAAGACGTTCAAGGTTGAGGCACGTCCCCAGTCAGGGCCTGAGCAAGCCTGGAAATGGTGGCCCACGTGGCAGGATGTTCGCGTTCACTATCGTCGAGAGATCGGTTTTAACGCAAATCTCATCCTCTTCATCGGTACAGCCATCTACTGGGTCACGAATCTCCTCACCTTACCAGGTGTATACAAGAACCTCCCGCAAGGTGTGCTCTATGGGCTATACTATCCTTCTTTCCTGCTTGGGGCTATCTGCTTCCTGGTCGCTTCGATACTATACCTGTTTGAAGTGCAGCGCCAGTGGTGGAAGCCCGCGCCGCGCATGGTCGGGTGGTGGGTTGGAATGACAAATCTGGTGGGTAGCATAGGTTGGATCTGGAGTGCTTGTCTGGGCTATTGTAGCACAGGTTGGTGCGAGTATCAGAGTACACTGGCTCTGGTATGGGCACCCGCAGTATATCTCGTGGGCAGTCTGCTGATGCTCTATGAAGCTGTAGAGAAATGGCCTATCCATATCGAAGGTTAGGGCCATTCTCGTAGTACTGAACTTTCACTGTACTCGGAGCAAAATGCAGTGCAGATAGTATTCCAAGACAAGCCCCAGAGGTATACGTAGCATCGCCTACGACATCGACTCATTCTTCCAGCTTGTAAGATGCTACCCACCTTTTGAATGTATTGGACAGCAACACGAGAGATTCAAGACGAAAGGGTCATATCAAGAACGTTCTCGGGACATGACGATTGTTGTGGACGACAGGAGGCTCAAATCAGGCGTTGCGCATCTCATGTGAAACGATCTGAGGATATATTTTCCGTACCTCTGGCGACTCTCACATACTTTTGATCAATGGCATTGGCCCGGTCTTTCTTCAAAGTGTTCAATACCTCTCTGGCACGCTCTTACGATGACTGCTTGAGTTCAGATTGTGGCACGGCTTCATTGACAGGCTCGTGACGTCTCGCATCGCGCAGCCACAGCCCAAAGTAGCTAGCCATGACGTCAAGACACATTCTTTAAGAGAAGTAGATGTTTTTCAAGTATTCGTACAATCCCTACGGCTTCACAATCTTCTTTTCAGCTGATAATATGACACTTCCAATTACGGGCAAGTCCGGAAAGGACACACTCGCGGCACGCCTCGAGAACGACTTCGAGAAGCGACCCGATCCGGTCGCATTAACCCACAACGCCGATGAGTCGCAAAACAGCTCTTCGGGGGTTGACTATGAGCCGCACCCTGAAAGCTCGATAAACTTGGAGCCTGCGAGGGAGAGAATTGTACAGTCTATCTGCAACTTGTACTCTGGCAGCGCTAGCGAAGAAGACATGATGGTGTATGGCAAAGAGGCGGTATACGATGACCCATGGAGCTATTGCGATACAAGGTATAAGATTGCTGGGCAGTGGTATGGTGAGTAATGCCTAAACTTAGACGGTGGTGAGGAAGCACGCTTTGTTAACACCTGACAGGCATCCCAAAACTCATGAAGAGCAGTCGGACGATCAAGACGGAGGTTATTTCCTCCAAGCCTGATGAGATCATCTTCAAGTTGCAGCAGGAGTACACTCCAAAACCTATGCCGATTGCGAAGAAGGTCAACAGCTTGATTACACTGACGCTCGATCAAGAGGGCAAGGTGCGGTATCACAAGGTACGCGAAAACCATTCAACAGCGCACGTCTGCGCAACTTCTCATTGAGCTCGAAGGGTTGTTGCTAACACGAGGCAGGACATGTGGAATGAGAAGGACTACAGTCACGAAGGTCTAGGCAAATTCATGAAAGAGTTGAATGGGGATCATCTAACAAAGATCACGCGACCCCCAGCAGATCTGTGATGAAGCAGCAGCTCTCAGAGGAATTACCTCACCCAACATTGAGCGAAAGACTCAAAACAATCATCATCATTCCAAGCTCATGGCTTCCAGCCCCCAGTGCGTGACCTAAACAGACCTGCCGGATCCACTGCATCTGCGACCCTCTTCGCCAACGCCCGGCTCTCAGGCCTCAATCTCCCAAAGTAATCCTGTCGAAAGAACCCATAGTTCATGAAGATTGGCAAATACGCTTCCGGTAGCTTACCCTCTGCTTGCCATGCCAGGACCCTGTTTCTCACGCCAGAATAAGTCGCTTCCATCGTGTCAGCCATCTGCTCATACAACGACTGCGGCGTGAAAGCATAGTTCATCTCGATGATAATGCGATCGACATCTGCATCAGCATCGATCAGATCAGGGCTTAGTTCCCGGGCCTTTTGCGCAATCTTCTTTGGGAATGGCTGCCATGCGATGGATGCTACGATTCCAGGTACGAGTAGCGTGGTATCAGAAATGTCGCGCCAGTGCTTGTGAAGACCTTCCATGACCTCGACAGCATTGGCGCGGGAAGGCAAGGGTATTGTTTCTGTGGCGATGTCCACGACGTTGCCTTTGATCACGACCCAGTTACTTAGGACCATGAGATCGGCGTAGGTGCGCGTTCGGGTCGTGTCAAGTAAGGGATCGACATCGGTAAAGTTATCGAATAGCCCGGCTGGAGGCGTTGGACCATCATAGAACAGGAAAATGATCCAAGAGTCGACTACGTTGAGATTCGCTCGCTCCGCCGTGACTATAACAGCAGCTTTCTCGTCTTCGTTGTATTCCGTCCAGTCACGAACGGCTTGGAGTAGCTGCTCGTCTTTACTCGGCGTGCGCAGGTACACCAGGTTGCCACCCCAGATGTCGCCTTGTCGGTGAGCTTGCAACTTGTAGTTCGTAACGATACCGAAGTTGTTACCGCCTCCCTTCAGCGCGACAAATACATCAGGGTGATTGTCGTTCCGGATGTGGCCGATAGTGCCGTTGGCAAAGACAATTTCGTACTCGAGGACACTTGACGCAGCCCATCCGTACTGCGTCGACATGTAGCTGAGCCCTCCACCTAGCACTAGTCCGCCGACTCCAGTGTTGCCGATGCGCCCGCCGACAAACGTCCAGCCTGTGCCTTGGAGCTTAGCAGCAATGCCATCGAGCCGGTTACCAGGACCCACGTCGACGATACCTGTGCTACTGTCGAGATCGGCTTGATCGAAATGCTCCATAGCAATGAGTGGGCCCCCGGCTACGCTACTCCATCCATTGTTGGGATTGTGGCCACCGGATTTGACGGCGAAGCGTTCAGTAGTGTTGGCAAGGATTCGCACCACGGTCGAGACTTCTTCCACCGTCCTTGGGAAGATTATGCAGGATGGGAGGAGAGCAGAGCACGAAGTAGACCAATACTGGGTTTGTTCTTCAATGTAGGCCAGGTTGAGGGGGTATGTGACGGTGATGTAACCGAGAGAAGCGACTGATGAACAAGTATTGCCGCGGGCCAAAGCTGGCAGCATGAACGCGAAAAGAAGGTGGACGAGAAAATGCAACATGTTGAGCTCAAGATCAGAGACTCTGAAGTGGTGCTGCTGAGATTGTCACGATGTACACCTCGATTTATACCCAGCGTTACAACAGCACAGCTGCCAATGACGTGTTCTGATACGGCTCTGAAAGGGTGTAGAAGGGTGCATCTGGAGTGATATATGTGCGTGCAATCACAACCAAGCACGAATCATACGTTGCTTCTGTCCGACAATTGAGCGTAGGTCGTATAGGAGCCGATCATTGTCGAGACGGCTATGCGAATGTCTTCTCGAAAGAGTAAGCACCGTCGCTTACTCACAAGTGGTCTGGCATTGGAAAATAAAGGTTGTATTGTACTAGGTCCAGTGCGCGGTATTGCAGCGTGTCTTCGAATCATTCCCTGGCAATCTCTCCCAAGATTCGTCCTCAACCGGTTCCCTATTGGTGCATACCAGCAACGGTGGACACCGAGACTTCACCTCCTCCTTCAATATGTGGAAGAGGCTTCGAGCCAAGCAATGGAGTATGGATTGTTGCTCCAACCATATGCCCAAACTGACGAGAATGACAACGCTTGGAAGCTCGGGATCGATAATTTGGGGTCTGATCTCCAAGTTCACAGATATTGCTGAACGATATTTGGAGTAAGGAGGGTCGCGTGAGGAATGTGGCGGTCTTGGTGACTCGTTTTTGTAGCGTGTTTGTATAGGCTGAATGCGTACGAGCTCGGTTGGTCAAGGGCTGACACACCTGGGGGGTGCACCCGCTGCAGCTGCAAGCCCCAATACGAACATTAGAGTAGCCCAGGGCCGATTTCGGTACCTGCATTAATTAGCGTAGTATTAGCCGCCCAAGACAGAAGACTTATCGAAAAAAGAGTTGGCCATCCCGAAGGACAGCCGTCGAACCACCCACGATGACACCACACCACGCTCTCCCATTTTCACACCAATCGCATCTCAAGGACCGACGTCGTTAACCAAGCGATAATGCATCCAGGGCGTAGGCCAAGAGACTGTAGCAAAGAAAGGTGGTGACAAGACCGCGAAGCGTGTTTGGATGGAAGAATGAAGAGCCCACAGGAACTTGTCGCAGAAAATGTCGACAGACAGGTCTAGACCTTGAGCCTCACTCTTGAGAGGTCCCATCTTCATCTTCTGGTTCGATAAGCACTGCGTTATGGCTCACATTGTCCACCAATTGCTGTCGTCGGATTTCCAGCCCTTATGCTCAGCTCTCTTGTCGTGTGGCCAAGCCAAAGAACGCGAAGCGATGGATCGGTCATTGTAGGTCTTGTCAATGTGATGGTGTTTCCATGCAAGGCAGTCGCAACTCCAACACTAGCAGCTCCTCTCATCGCTACAAGACCATCGTCTCCGTGCTCCAGCTTGCGTAAACAACAAGATCCTAGTCATCTCAGCACAACAGACACGCAACACTCGCCAATGGACACAATCATCATGGGTTGTTAAGCCAAGATGCTTCTCTCTGTGCGTAGTGACAAGACTTCCTGAGACTAGTCTTTGTTTCCGCTCCGCTCTCTTGAGAAACGAAGGGCATGATGATACGGACAAAGGACATCCTCAAAAGCCGCATTGACGATCGCAACAGAGATAGAACTGCTCGATCGGATGGGTAGACGCTCGTCAATTCATACGTATGCTGAACATACGTGTTGACGACTAACGCGACTGGTCAGATATCACCCTAGAGTGACTGGTGTCAAGTGGTAATACTGTGACACCGGCTTCGTAACGTAGTAGATGAAGGAAGAGGTTGGAGATCTGATGGGGACTTTCGTCCCTGTGGGCGAGATGCACGGGTACTTCGTCGCCCTACACGAGTCCGGCTCGAACAGATTGCCATGCAGTACAAACGCCACATACTTGATCCAACACATGTAGACACAGCAGACTTTTCGTGCTTCGAACGTCAAGACATCAAATCCGGAGCGTGACGGCCCGCCGTAGCTGACAACACCAACCTGCGACGTATCGAGACCTCGCTAGGCTTTCGCCTTTCCGACGAGTGGATCTCACGCCAGCTGAAGCCGAACAAGTTGATGTGTCTGTATGTCTGGCTCGATCAATGTCAAGGCCGCGCTCTTCTTCTGTCCCGTTGCTGTAGGCATGACGTCTGCTGGTAACATGGCGATAGTTGGCATCAGGTGTTGCAGCTCCTGTATGGCTCTCGGAATCGAAGAGACTGTGATTTAGGCGCGATGATGAAACCCAAAGTCGATCCTCTAGTGAGGCGACCGGCGTCTGACTTCAGAGCTCTCCTCTTCGCCTCGTCGCATTCGTCGTGGAGCTATCTTTCGTGACCAGAGTCTGTTGTACAGATGAGATGCCGACGTGGTCCTCGTGTGAGAACTTTAATACCCCGACAGGCACATGTCATCCCAATTTGAGCTCTCGCTCCCGTACCTCGAGTCTTCCTTTTGCACACCAAGCAAGTAGGTCCACGCGAGCAGACCAATATGCAGGGGCTAGTCGGAAGGTCGGCGACATGACCGCGATACTATCCGTTGTGTTACAAGCACATCGAATACCGGAAGATGATTAGGGTTAAGATCCGAGCCTGCCCTCCTCACACACAACCCCAGTGTTTCCACCAAGGCGCACAGACAACATGCAAACGACCCATTGAGACCATGCTGAGAGGCTCGGGCGTGTGATGACTGCGCAAGTGCGTGAGGTGCGGACGAACCGCATTCCAAATGGAAGACAAACATCGGTAACTGTGGGGGAAGTGACCTGTGGGGTGCTTGCAAGCAAGCGAGAGAAGAAGTTGTGTCCAAAGGGAGCGTTGCGCGACAGTCCCGCCGCGACAGACATGGTCAGACGATGTTGGTGACGCTTACATGGCTCAGGATCCAATCGAGACGCGATGAGAAGTTGTGGCGTTTGAACAGAGATGGACATCGTGTGGCGATGGGTACGTCGGGGTTGTTGTTGGGTTCATGTCGGCAGGGGCAGGACGAAGACGCGTCGCCTCGCGCCAAGAGATTGCGCCTGCCTCGCGTCGAATTGACGCTAGCACGTGAGACCCATCCTTCTCTGACAAATCAGCAATATCCTTCTCCGCCTGCCCGTTGCCATTTTCCATCGCATCATCTCACGTAACAATAAATGGCGAATTCTCTGAAATCTAGAGAACAACGTTGGACTATATAGAGCCTTCTTGGTGGATCACGCACATCTATCGTGAGCAACACGCTCCGGCAAGACAACCACCACTATACCCACAGCCGCGCTCAGCGCTTTGCGCTTTGCGCCCAGCTTCGCGGTGTCGCTAAGCACGATGGGAGCGGTCGAAGATGCAGTGGACGCGGCAGCCAACTTCATCGGCCCATTTGTCGATAAGGACCGCAAATACAGTGCCGACGTGCCTACCGATACTCTCGTCGAACAAGCGCTCGTCCATCTCCAGGCCATAAACACTGCAGACCTAGCCGC